ACTCATGTTTTATGATAGGAACATGAGTATAAGAAAAGCAAAGTTTTTTATGAATTGTGTAATAAAATTGTACTTACCCAGACTTTAAATATTAACAGGATACTTGGTGAGGAAGAGGTCAGATCAAGGAATGGAAAGGAGCAGAGGGTAGGGAGATAGCTTCTACACTAACGTAGAAATTTGATTCTGAGATACCATTCAAGCTAATGAAGCAAAGCACAAACACAGGCTCTTAATCAACGTCTACTGTATGCCACATAATGGAAATACAAATTAGGTTGATCCAAATTGTGTTAGTATGTGTTTTGATGGCTGAAAGCCAACAGCTAGGGTTAGTGCAAATGGGTCCTAAAACAAGGGTATGCAGATGATGCAAACATCTATCTGTGAACAGTTCTTCAGAGTTTGGAATGATAGGCCTGGAAATCTAGAGAGAAAGTTATTTTAGCAATCACAGTATTTCATTTTATGAAAATGTTGGTATATAACCATGTCCCTTTCCTCTAGCTTAATGGTATAAAATCTCACATTAGGGATAATGCAAGGGAGAATCTTCTAGTGCCTACTGCTATGGCTCTAGTTTCTACGTATCATCCAAGGTGTAACTTGTAATCTAGGCCAAGGTCTTAGTAAGAGAAACACACAAGTTTTAAATAAGTCTGTAGAAAAAGAGTTCCCACAGCACACAGAACTGTCAGTAAAGTCAATATAGATGCAAACTTTTAGTAAAGGGAGGGACTTCAGCCTTCTCTTATTTTATTACCCTTTCCAGTTGTATCAACAGGAGCCTCACACACATATAGATCAGGAAAGTAAACCAATAAAAAAGACTCATTAGCAAATTGGTCTGCCTGGCATATGCTACCACTGTGAGTGCCTAAGCTCCCTGAAAGGTGGGGACTTTTCCTTCTTACTCCATAACTTCTCTCTCACCAGAATAAGATGGTGTTGGATGGTTGTAGGAGGATGACAGCGAGACAAGGAACAGGTTCTTTGTGACATGAGGATGTCACCAGCTGGCTTATACCCTGAGGCAACTGGTAGAAAAGGTTCAATATCAAACACTTCTACCTTGATGAAACCCCTAACTTAAGAGTTGTAGCTCTGATGCCTAGATCAAGGAAAAGCCAGTTGTGTGAATTAGGTCACTGAGATGTCTGATTCTCAGTGAGGTGCTAAGAGGCAGTCTCAGTTTAAGAGGAAAGTTTTGTCACTTTCTACAGGATACCTCCTTTTAGTCCTCAGAGTTGCCTGTCATCAAGCAAAAGTACGATGATGTAAAAAAAATTTGTTTTTGAAAAAGCCATGCTTTAAAGAGGAACCAATATAAAGTAGAAGAAATCATTTAGGTTTAGGAAATACAATATCAGAGGAAGGTTATGAGCTATTTTCCATTCTCAGTAGCTTTACTTATAAAGGTTGAGGTATTCAGGGTAGAACTTCACTTAGTCCAATCCAACAGGCAGGAAGCATTTTTCTAAGTTTCTACAAAGTCTACAAGGCACATCACAAGACACGTAGCAAGTCATGCTGGTCTTGTGCTTTAGCCTCATCATTCTGCCCAGGAAGCTCTGCTACAATATTGGGTGATAGGGTGTATAGCACTCATGTCTCCACAGGCCCAGAGACATGTCCAGCTCACTGGCATAGCTATCTTTACTGAGGAGGCAATGAAACTCAAGTAAATACCCACCAGATAGGTAGGCTTGATATAACTACAGAGAGCCTTGATGAATAATATTAATGGAGAATATTGTCTTGCAAAGTCATTTCTGAAACGCCTGTGGCCTAGACAAGTCAGTGTTCCAATCAGAGGCTCCCCTCCTCCTATGAAAAAGGCAATTTTGTACTGGCAGGGCTTTCTATTATGGGAGGTGGGGTTGGGACAGTTCAGACAGCCTCTCCCACTCCCTAAAAGGGATACATGTGTAAATGTATTGGAGGAAAGGTAGAGACTAATACTGCTTTTTTGCAATTGGAAGTCATACTGAGCGTTTTTCTCTTAACTTTTATTCTGAATTATTCAAGCTAAACTAAAGATTTCAGAAATTTTAAATTTAGGGTGCTAAACTCCACTCCTCCCTTTGCTCCCTAAGGGCAAAGACCATCTCATCCTGCATTGCCTGTCATAATACCTGAGACAGAGAATGTGCTCAGTAAACGTCTGAATTGAAATGTTGACTTTTGTTTATTGGGCTCAACAACGTGAGGTAGCCCTAGCATTTGTGAATCATTTTGTGCTACAGTAAGATAATACCTCCCTTTTTGGATCCTAATTCTTTCTTTTTTTTTTTTAGCAATTAAAAACATTACTGCCTTTTTATGACTCTACCCATCCATTGGGCTGATATCTTCAGGGATTTCTCCCCAGTTAACTCCCAGATCCCTTTGCCGAGCCAGAACTGATGGCTCAGAGACTTATCAGTTTATGTGAACAGGGGCTGGCTTATTTTCCTCTAAATGCTTTTTATGGTTTTCAAATTGTTACCACACTATCTATGTCACGTGTTCTCATGAAGGACAGAAGGAATAGATTATTATCTTCATTTTACAGGTTATGGAACTGACGTTCACAAAGATTAAATGACTCACTCATTTATAAAAGCAGTTTGTACCAGAGGTCAGAGTGAGAAGAGTTTCCAGTCCTGAACTGACCACTTACTAGCTGTGTAATTTTGTGTACATCACTTAATATTTCTGTGTCTCAGTTTCGTTACACGTGTAACACGGACATTATACCTACTTATTATTCCTTATGGAGTTGTTAATGATAAACTGAAGTAATACTATTTATCATTTATATAGCATTTACATTTTCAAATGGTCTACATATCTCTCGTCTCATTTAATCCAGGTGAAGAAATAGAGATTAGAAAGGCTGACTAACTTGCTCAAAGTTATGCAGCTACACACTGTCAGAGCTGAGATTTGGATTTATGTTGACACCAAGTCCAGGGTTCTTTCCACTACACTGCAGCTATTGGGAGGCTCATGTAGGTGAAATAACCTATGTGAAAATGTTTTGTAATAATATGTAAATGCCTTACAAATGCTATTTAAATGTTGAGGAATACGACAACCTGGGTTGATAAATATAACGACATTACTACCAGACTGGCAAAGTGAAACTCAGAAACGAAGTTGAAAAATTTGCTGCATATATAGATTGAAAGGGTCAGACAATACTATAGAGCTACAG